GAAATGTAAATCGAGCGCTCGAAAACATTAAGGCGTGGATCTTGAATCTTGATGTATATAAAATTTGTAGAAGGGAAATTCGATGTTTTTCGAAGCCGCTCTTAGGACTGTTAATATTAAAGTCATTATACTTTTATGTTATTATGGTCAGTTCGTGCTAAAAATTTAAGATTTAATTAAAGAACCAAGTTAAACTTTACAAAGATATAAGACTTGAGTAACATAAAAAATACAGCTAAGTACATATTTCGTTTTCTGATTATTTTGAGAAAGTCTGAGAAATCTTTCGTCTGTAAAATTGACAACATAATTTAAATATTTATTAATAACATATAATTGTAATATTTTATTATTAGTGATGGTATAATAACGTACAAGCGTAAGCCCATGTAAAAGTAGGTGCATATAGGGCAATTCTGAATATTGAGCTTTTAAAATTAAAGTTATAGCAAATCAAAATGCATTATTCAAGAACACTTTGTTTTATTCAAAAACCACCATTTCATTCTATGTCAAACACAATTTTCAGGAAATGTTTTATTTATTTAGATTGCAAATAATACTGCAATGCGGGAAGTTATTATCTTGCTAGGGAAAATTGTCAAGTATGGATTTTTACGAGGTGCTCTGGAATTTAATACACAGGTACAATACACCATTCGAGTACACCAATTTTGGTTTTTACTCACAAAACAAAAACAGTAAGTTGTAAATTGTTCTTACCTGTCTCGCGTTATATATATTTATGCTTTGCGCTTTGCTAGATTTGCATAGCGTAGATATCTTTGTTTGAAACAAAGCAATGAGGATTGTTTTTTCATTTATGTCTTCTCTGTAATCATAAAAATAATTCTTTCAAGCATTGTGTACATAGGTGATTCATCAGCACCTAAGTCAGGAAGATTGGAAAAATAATTCAATCATCCAGTTTCTAGGGAGCTTTTTGTTCATTCAATTTATTAAAAAAGTAAAGTCAAACATCTTGGGCCACGATAGACGTCGCAGTATCTTAAACTTATTAGATAAGTAATTTAAGAAATATTCGTTTTATTCCGACAATCCATCCATTTCTATCGACGCCCACCGCCGCTCAAACCTTTTTGACATAGAGTAGGTACCTATATCAAGCCCGTGATTAGCGTTTCACGAGCTTTGAGTCTGTTAAAGTTTTATTTAGTTCCAGGCTAAAATGAAAACGTCATTCATCAAAATAGACATATCAGCATGGGGAAGTGTAAAAGAGTTGCCGAAGAAACAGTGTATTCAAAATGTTGTTATGTTATAGAAAACAAAGGAATGTTTAATTCGTGTATAAAGAACACAAACTAGGCGCACATAGACACGAGTTGAACGGAGGATCAAGGCAGACCAAGGTTAGAAAATCTTGATTGGATCAATCGAGTTAGGTACTTGTGTTCGTAACCGGCGTGCACGGACGGGACGTAGATTGCACGCTCAAGAAAATAATACATACATATAACATAGTCTTGTATCGAAAGATGTTTATTTGTATTTTAGATCTAACAGCCTATACACGCGGAATATTCTATACGCTCACTTGTTGTATTATGATTTGTGGCCTCATTGTAAGATATAAATTATCTATGAGGCAAGAAATTACTTCAATAGTATTTTATAGCGTTTCTCTTTCACGGGTGTATTATTAAGCAAATTTAATAGAATATCATGAATTAAGTTCATTTAGATTTAACTGACCGGTTCCACAAAATTTCCGTGACCTACAACTCCTATAAGACTTTCGAATCATAGTTTTCTAAAACCGAATGAACATTGACCAAAGCATAGCTCTGTTCTTAGCCTACTTATAAAAGTAGTACAAAACTATTGATAAATTTAAAAAAACAGTTATTGTTATTTTTTTGATTTGCACGAATATTTAACAAATTTTATCGGTCTATATTAGATATTGTCCAACCCTTCTACGGTACTATTGAGAGCCGCCATAAGTTGTCCGTAAAAGAATAATTTTCATACCAAATGTCTAAAAGCTTGGTGCCATCCAGATCTACAGTACAAACTATAGTATTATAATAAAATAACGAGACAGATTCATATTTGAGGATACCTGACCACGTGTCGCAAGAAAAGAAGAAAAAAAATTAAAAAAATCATTAAATGTTAATTTCATTGAACAGAGACAGAAAACAAAGAACAGATAGGATCCCTATAGATGTTTCAGTCGATATTTGCAAGACAGTAGTAATAAAAAACATGAGTTGTGTGTACTGTAACGCATTTAGCGTTAAGAAAAAAGAAGAGGTCGAAATTCGGTCAACGAAAAAGAAAAATTTTCGACCAGTGGCGTATGCAGCGATGAATTTTAATTTAAAGAGAGTCTTCGACGAAAGAAAAAACTGATTCGGAACAATAGTGTGATATTCCATCATAATTTTCTGATACCTCTGACGATGTGAGGATTGCATGTCAGCACATAGTGTTGGTAAATTGTATTTCATGGATGGTTCTTTCTATGCTACGAAATACCAAGCATTGTTTGATAGAGAATTCAAAGACGTCCAACGAGATGTTTTGAAGAGCATTCTTATAAATATTGTGGTGGAATCAACCTCTCTCATAGAAAATCAAACTAATTCTGCGTAAGAATCCTTGTGAGAGTGAGTTAAAGTATTGACAAATACTGATGCGTGCTATCTTTCCTGAGTAGGTTGCATCTGCACTACAACTAAAAGGGAAAGCAAAACAGATCAATTTTAATTTTTTTTAAAGTGATCTTCTCTGCACTTATGATTAAACATTAAAATTTGTAGAAATAGTGCGAAAAAAATGTCGCCGCTGTGGGAATCGAACCTACGTATTCGGCATTCGCGGCCTGACGCTTTAGCCACCAAGCTAAACGGCAGATTGCCATACCAACGAAAATCTTAACTTCTTTTATCTACATTGTTTTTTTTACAAATATCAATGTTCCTTTTTTTAAAAATTTTATATGTTCTTTGAAGACTCTATTAGCGTAGTGGGTATTGAAACTGTCTCTTGCGCCAGAGAGTGTGGGTTGATCCTCACAACTGGAAAAATATTGTGTGATGTACTTAATAATTTTCCTCTGTCGGGGTGTATATGTATAATAAGTATTTATTTACAAAATAAAAGTATGTTTAAGTATGTAAATCAGTTATCTCGTACCCAGCAAGCGTTGCTTAGTCTGCGACTAGAGAACTTTGTGTAAAAATGTATCGTAAAATATTTATTTTTTGTTATTGACGCTAATTTTAATTTTATTTACGCGGAACAAAAAAGTGTGAGTCCATTATATAGAATATTAGAATATTGTGCCTTCGATTGTATGATGTGTTTTTAAAACCTTTGTATCTTTATAACCAGAATTCCCATGTTTATTTTCATTTTCCCATCTATTTAAAACAAAAACGTCATCCAATTAGATGCTAGAAGTTGCCAATACCAATTCCGTTTCATTATCCAAAGTACTTTACCTTGAAAAAATTCTGAAGAACCTAGCTTTTAACTACGCTTTATGTAGGCTCGCCGCCAAGATTCATCGGTCATAATAGGAGTAACGTGACTTGGCAGCGTTCTATAGGGACCTGGTTTTGAGCCTCACTGATTTTGTAGGGTAGGAACAAAACGGAAGAATGAAAAACTCTTCCGTTTTTAAGTTCACTATCGTTAAAATCTCTTATACATTTATTAAACGATTTATTTTATTTCTTTCTCACAAATGTGGATAGAAATATTTTCGTTCATTTTGTTGGTATGTGTGGTACATTATATGCTTTATTAATCTGTTGAGAAATCACCTTGCCATTTCTTATAATTCATTTAATTTAGAAGTTCATTATTCTGTACCTAAACTCACACACAATTAGAAATTGATTACTGCGGTATGTATACAAAAAAGTGAGTAAGTATCATTTATATCTGACATAATAATAAATAAAAAATGAAGGGATACCTTTATGCACGAGATTTTTAAGGCACCGGAATTATACAGTACTTTTGAAATTGCCGTTATTCAGAGTCATGGTTTAGAAATTTTAAATCTATTACAGAATTTCTTTGCGGCAGGAATCAAGGGGCGCTAAACATTGAATGGAATGGATGCAAAACAATTCTCACAGAAAATAAAATTTTGATGGCGACTTTTGAAAGACGTGTGGAAGTCTAAGTTACTAGGAAACATATTTTATTATTTAGTGACTGATTGAAAATAACCACAAATACTAATTATATGTGTAGGAGCGTTGTTAATGTTTAAGAAGCTGGACTGTAATAATTAGAGCTTTTTATTTTTATTTGAATTTAGATGTAATAAATGTAACAAATGTGAAAATATTACGTTTTTTTACAATTGGCTTTTACAATACCTACATAGATAACAGATTATATTATTGTGTAACTAATTGAAATTCACACAAAATTTCAATTTCATTACGCAGCAGTTTCAATGTAACAGTAACTTTCTCAATGTTAAATTGCAAAAAAATTGTTATAATTATTTATTTAACATAAGTCAATTTATACAGTGATAGCACAAACTAAAAGAAAGACAAGGTCGCTCCACCCTGATCAAAGGCTAGGCCACTAATTCAAAAGTAATGCCACGTACCTTTACCAGATATTTACACTAGTGTTGCATCTATAGCTGTCGATACGGCATTTGTTAATTAACTTTATGAAAAAAAGAACAATTAGAATCACCACATCAATAACCTAGAAGAACACGCATCAAAGATAAGATAAGAAAACGAAAATGTCGAGCATTCGCTTATTTTCGTAAAAGCGATATTAATCGCTAACCGTATCCGATGGAATGTGTTCGATCACGTACTAAAACGGCCGTTGCAATTGAACTGGCTCACGTTCCGTTGCAATCAAGTTGAATCAGCAGTTTTCGATATCACTGAAACAAACGCCCGATGACTTATATATTGACAATGGCATGAGAGAAATCCAGTAATATTTTCGATACCGTAAGGGTCTTCGGTTATGTGCAGAGCTATATGCAGCTGCTGTTGTTCTCCAACACGCTTGAGCTGAGCCTGTGTGACGTAGGTAAGTGAAATTATAATTTTATATAACACATTCCGCATTTAAAACATAATAATCGCAAAGAGTTTTGTTGTTTGACCAATTGTTTCTTTTTATGTGAGAAGACACAAACGGGCAGGTTGACCAGATAAAGAAACATCTATAACACAGCCCTCTGTGAGGTTGTGGTACTTCCCCAGACATGCTAACCCATTCGTGACACAGATGCTATTGCGTAGCCTTACCCCAGTAAAAATTGTGTACCGTTAAAGTTGCAAAATATAATTTAAAAGCTTCTATACCATAAGATCATCCTGCGTTGTAGAGCTCTGTGAACACGATGCAAATGATCAAATACCCAAATCCGAAATCTTTAGGTTTGTTTCGGTCGAAAATCCAACCTGCAACGATTCATCTAAAAATACTGCGTATCAAGTAATATGGAAAGAGAAAAATTTATTACTGTATTCTGCTACAACCTAAAGCACCTTCTGCTGATTAATGACTGTTACAATTCGATGTGAATGTACCAGGATTTTCCTGAAATGTATGAGTATGTTTTTGTTACTTTGTGTTTTCTTTGGTGTAGGCCATTCATAGCCATTGTTGTTCCGGATTGCAAAAGTTGGCGCTAATTAATTACCATTAATTTAAGTTCAGCGCTTGCTTGTTCGATTATTTTCTTAAAAAAACCATTACATCAGATTTATAATGACATGTTTTTATCATTTTTGCAGGTGATCATTTCAACATGCTGAATTTAAGGCTTTGGTTTTTATTGGCGGTATGTCTCAGCCTGACAATTTCAAGCGAAGCGAGACGAAAGCTGAAACGAGATCAAGAAGAGAGTCTTAAAACAATTGAAGATCAATATGACGATCTTGGCGAGGTAATATGATGTTAATTGGATTTGATAGATTGCTTAAATGATTAAGGTCAACAAAAATATTACTAGAGTTTATTAATATATTATATATATATTAAAGGTATCACCGTATCACCAGGTCCTCCTCTCAGTTGATTTTCCGAACTTAGCGACTTTTTAATCCTTTAAATAATGATATACAAATGGCAAATATTATTTATTTAATATTTATTATTTCTAGATATTTCTGTTTTTTTATGTGAGAAGGTGGCAAATGAGCTGGCGGTTCATCTAGGTAGTAGGGTTGCAGATGTATTGTCACCTTTTAATAAAGTGGACCCCGGCTACCTCAATCACCAAACGAAACGCACAAGTATAACACCTCAACTTCGCGCTGGTCTTCTGTTAGTCGTGGTACTTACCGGGACGGACCTACCCATTCGTAGCGTAGACTGTTCCGTGGCCCTAACACAGTTATGGTCTCCTGTTACTTGTCTTTTGGATTTTAGTACATACTTATCTAGCTACCACAAATACTACTTTATTAGGTCTCAATCCCAAACCACCTTTGATATTAACATCGCTTTAATATTTTCCAGGTCGAGCCATGCCAATGCGGCGTGTTTATGTCCCAGCAGGTCGGCATCAGGGAGGGGCGGCGCGGCCGACCTCGTGGTCCGCCACAGGGCGAGCCTGTAGTCACCTACGACACCGACTCGCCGAGCTTGCCCTGTGGCACAGGAGGCTTCAAGCATTGCATCAGCAAATGCCTCGATGTGGTATGACACGCGTTCCATGACGGTTCTTAACACAATAAACACAGTCAACTTCGTTAGAGCTGACAAAGCTCCGACAGCTCTGAAAGTTATCTGACAAAGCACATACGTCTACGTAAAGTCGAGTCCAGCACAACCTCCAAAACTATGGCCTTAAGTGTAGCGTATCATTATCAGCAACATTTCAGCCTGTCCAAGTACATTGCTGAACTTAGGCCTCCCCCACAGACTGTCTCGGAACACGATCTGGAGCTACATGTAACGGGTCGTCCTACCCTGCGATGGGTTATACGAGGCTGCCACTCGAGAATCTTTCTTCCCTATCGCTTATCGAGCTATATGGTCGGCTCAATGCCACTTCAGCTTACTAATTACCTGAGCTATGTCGGTTACCTTTGTTCTACTGAGGATATCTTCATTGCGGACTCTATCACGCAGAGAACAACCGAGCATACCCAGCGCGATAGCCCGCTGCGTTGTAGTGTGATTAGTATGTGCTAAAACTTGACATGGACGTAATGACTAAATACTACTCGTAAACCATCACCCGACAAAGACAAAGAGCAAGTGTGATATAATGTAAAGTAAAAAAAAGTATCAGCCTATACATGCCCCACTGCTGGGCAAAGGCCTCTGTACAGAGGGTATCAGGGCTTAGCTCACCAATTTAATTGCAAATAACATATTATGACTGAAGGATTATTTTTAAATACTTCATTTCAGATATTGAAATATCTCCCGAGGGCCGGCCCAGTGATTTGCGGTGCGGTGGAGCGTGACGTTCACAGGGAGAAAGCTTTCCTCTTCATCAAGAACTGCGGTGCTGATTGGACTCCAACCAATTTCTCAGCTGGCAAGGAGTTCTGCTGTAAAGATGGTCAGCATCAGAAATGTTAACGGTTATAACCTATATAACAACATTTTGAGGAATTATTTCCATAATTCCACATATTACGTGACAAAAAGGTCAATTTTTTGTCGTTGTCGTGTGCATATTTACCAAGTTGATGTTGCGACATTTATAACACTTGGTATGGCAGAGAAAGTGTCACTTTTTTATATTTTATACATAAGCTGTAGGATACTATTATCCTGTGTTTTAAGGGCTATCAACATATACGAGTTCATGCGCTCAAATTTCAAACTATTGTTTGGGGGTCACACAAATACTTATTCTCTATGGGAAACGTATCCACGTCCCCTGTCGCCAAAACCAACAGCTATGCCACGGCGCCCACCAAGAAATTCTATGATTGTAAATTTCTAATATTTTGATGGTTTCTTGATCAAGTGTTAAGAATTTTGTCATCAATGAAGCTCCTTGTTCCCAATTAATTAGGCAATTCTAAGATTACAAGGGTAATTGGTAGTCAATTGCCGAGTTATTATTGTTTTAACAAATCTAACATGAACATTTGCGAATATTTAGCTATTATGCAAACAAGTAATGATGGCGACAGCTTAAAAATTATTTGATAATATTATATTATAATTTAACTTGCATTACAAGTTATGTTTACTCAACATCACATTAATTCATAAATATTTCAGTTATTTGTTTACAACCGATAGTAAATTAGTGTGAAGTTCATACTAATCATCATATTTGGTTATGGAAGAACACGCGTAATTATGTAGTTATTCTATTATATAAAAATCACGGAATAAGAATAAAAAAAAATGTTTTAAAGAGTTATTTTTTATAAGTGTAGTTTGCTTATTTATATTATTAAAGAATATTTTTGTATTCTATTTATTCTATTCGTACCCTTTTTGTTAATACTTTACTTTTCCACTCTGCAATTTAAAACGTTTAGCAAAATATTGAGTTTAGTATTACAAAAGTACAAAGTATAATTATTTTAGAACCATTATTGATTACTGGTAATTACTCCGCAACCTCAGCTCAATGCTTATTATACACACAAATGGTCGGTGGGTCTTTGTAAACTATTAATGTAGTAATAGAAGATGAAGACAAAAACAACACAAAAAATGTTTTTCTTGTAACCAATATCCATAAATTTAAAATTTGAATACCTACATAATCTCTTTTTCATGTTCATGGCATTTAGTTTGGCAATAATAAATGTATTTTTCGTTTGTAGTTTGAACTGAAAATAATAGATGTCGCTGCACAGAATGAAACGTTTTTGTTCAGCTTAGCTAAAACTTTAACTAAGCCGAAGGTAATTACGACCAATAACTCTATTAAATTTATTAGTGTCGTAGAATAAACTTATTTTACATTTTTGTTGAGTTCATGAATAAAACGTAAGAATTATATTCAGACTCAGAAAACTTACCTTGTTATAGAAATTGTATTTAAGAAGTACGAAGTTTGAAGCTGTCCAATTCTTCGGAGAAATGAAACTTTGAGCCTTTGAGAAAGGTGGTTCACCTGATGTTAAGTGATGACGGCCGCCCATAAACATTTGCAACATCTGTAGTTTGGCAGATGCGCTGCTATCTTTTAATAAAGTGGCCTTCGGTTACCTCACTCACCAGACGATACGCAAAAGTATAACAGCTCCACTTGACGCTGGTCTTCTGTAAGATGGTACTTACCCAGGCGGACCTGTCCGTTCGTGCAACAGAAAAGACTTGCCTATTGGCCCTACCACTGCATAAAAGCTGTGCATGAGTTGCTGAATTGCTGGTTTATCATCGCCAAAGATTTTACGAGTCGTATTGTAGCTATATAATGTGTAAGCCAAAGAAGAACCCGGTCTGCGTGTAGTGACAATACAGGCAAAGAGTTACATCACTGAGGTTCATTTGAGTGGGCGGTACCACACTCACTAACCTCTACAGTATCGGACACTCGGGGCAAAAGAAATGACATTTATTGGTTATACATTTCACGGCTCTATCAAATGCGACAATAAGGCTTCTCGACTATCCTGAGTGGTGTTGTGAGTGGTATTCATTGGAAAATGGGAGAGATTGTGTTTCAGTGCGTTCCGATAGTGCTTAGCTGCTTAGCTATCCCGTTGATCACATTCCTATACTCAAAGGATCGAGGGAGTTCGCTGATAGAATGGAGTGGGGGCCTCTGTGTGAATCAGATGAGACATAACGCGATCGTCACCGAACTGACTGCTGATCTGTGCGTGTGGTCCTACTTATATAACGGAACATCTTGGGGGTTTTAATCAGTGTGAGTCATGACTCGTTCTCCCCCGCGAGGGCGGATGCGTAGGCATTCCTCATTATGAAGCAAAGTAAATCTCCATGTACCTGTAACGTCTTCCACATTTTTAGTAGTAGTCCAGTTTACCAATCTACTATGTTACAAATCGCAACAAAATTTTTGTAAGCCCCTTTATCGTACATCTCAAATTTAAAGTACTCTTTAAACGAGATAACGGATTCAGTATATAAGTTGATTGATGCATCCCTACGAAACGGGTCGTGACGTAAGCGTTTTGTTGAAAATAGAAAAGTAAATCAATACAATTGACCTAAATACGATGTATGCGGAATTGTGTCACGTCTCATTCATTTTAGCCGCGACGCGATAGGACCTACTATCAGCAGTGCTTAGTTAGTCCATTCTGTTATCTTTTCGACTTGCTTGCAAGAGTTTGATATCTTACTACATGTTTGTACTTGAGGAAATTTCAATTTAGATTGGTAAGTTTAGATGTCGATGAGAGAACAATGTAAAAAATAGATTGAACACCGATTAATCGATGTGATGACCTTGCGAAGGAGGATAGTATTTGAATGCGTGGATTGGGATCACCGAACATTTAAAGTTTAGAAGCGCCCTATGCAGTATTTAGGACAGAGGCCTAAATATCGACATAATCGTCGGTTTGGCCCTGTTCCTAGTGCCGACCTATTTTGCATAGTAGCTTGTTGATGGATCATGTGATCTTCTGATGTGCAGATGACAAACAATGTTAAACCAGTATATATTTCTTTTCTCATGCTTATTGCAGAGTTTCTCTCTATAGCTATTGATAGTATTTATGTTAGTTATAAGGGTATTCATGAATATTGAGAACGCCTAGGTTAAAATCACCTTTCTTCAAATCGCTTTCTAGGAAATGCAATTAAAATGAAATAGTAGAAAACATGTAAACATGATTAAATTATGATTGACCTTCGTTATTATTAATAGGGGTGCTCTATAACACAGAACAAACTCTCATACCTTTCAACCATATGTTTGATGGAGTAAAGAAGCATTTTCAACATTTCGTAGCTTAGTGGTATTTTTAAGATGCAAAGTATTTTTAAATGCATCATTTATAAATCAAATACGTAGGTTAAATTCAGGATAGGGATTTTTTTTAATCGAAAGTTTTAATAATTCACGTCGTAGTGTAGACGTTCATAAAGAGGCTTTTATTTATATAATTCGTTTGCTGTGTTCTGTAGTAGTTAAAATTGTTTTATTATTTTATAATCATTACATGCAAATTAGTTCTAAAACATAAGGAAGTGAAATCAAAACTGCAACAAATTTTTTAAGGATATAAAAATAAATGTTGTTATTTATAAAAGGCAAAACACACTTCAATTCTAGTGTATCAATGATATATATTTTATTTTAACTAAGTTAGAGATATAAAGCGTTGAGTTCTTCGAAACAGTATATAAAGTTGTAAAAATTTCGCAATCGTCAATAAAAACGGTCCTTGCGGAGACTTGTTGACAATTAACGAAATCATTATCGTGGAGAACAGAGAACCGTTTTGGTTCGCCTATTTTTAGAGCACTCAGTGAGTTGTCCTATATAATTCACTGGCGCACGACAAGGAGTGCCTTATCCGTCGACCCGGTCCCACTCGATTATGGTGTCAATGGAGTTTCCTTATCAAGGACTAGTGTTACACGCACATGAAGTGAGTGCCTAGGCGCCGGCGGGTGGGCGCGCGGGGTGCGCGGGGCGGCGCCTGACCCGGATCGCGTAGGGTGAACAACCCCGACACGTGCCACTTTCTAAAAAGAAACGCGCGTCGCCCGCGCATCCTTGCGTGGACGGCTGGATCATTCGCCTCTCTATGGTTGCGAGACAACTTTTGACATACACCATAGACGAAAATCAAATAATCTGTGCCGGAATTAGAAAGAGTTCGTTTTGTACTAATATCATCCAAAACGTTTGCCTATCTGCTTTTTATATTTTTTCTGGTTTGTTTGTGTTCCCCCTTTTTTTTTTGTGTCGTCTACTAATATCATCCAAAACGTTTGCCTATCTGCTTTTTATACACAAATATAGTAAATCTTGTAGGATAATTTAGAATAATTGAATTGGGACAAACTCAATCATAAGATGCTTATTTCACTAAATTGTTTTTTTTTTTATAAAAATAGTGAATGAATATTTATCCTACCATATTTGAAGATAATAGAGAATGTCTTATTATTTTGACCCCTCAATACATAAACGTCAAAAGCTCTTAAAAGGTCAGGAATAACGTGCAAAATTGCGCAACAAAAACCTTAAGAATAATTTTATCCAATCTATAGAGTATGTTTGCTTAAACATTATCAAAAGTTTGTTTAAATTACAGTATATATGGATTACGTACAAATGCTGGAGATGTGACAGCGGGCATAGATTCCCCAAAAGATAAATTAGTTAAGCATAGCGATAATGCGATGACATCACACCCGGAAAACTAATAAATGCACCTTAAGCGTGGGAAAGTCTATAAATAGCAGTATACGACTTCGTTTGAGCCTCTCAAATCATATCAGCAATGCAAACATGGATGTTTAAACCTGCCCAGAATGAATAATCTAGTGGTCGTCACTATTTGTCACACTTCGCTAAATTCCAAATAGCGAATGTTGTTTTTTTTTTTCAACAAATAAAATACAAATGGCGGCGGTATTCACTTAACATCAGATGAACCGTCTGCTCGCTTGACAACTTTTCACATAAAAAAAACATCAATAGAAATATGTATGCAACAGCTAAGAGACTATTTGGTGTGTTGCGGTCGTTAGATTGGCTGCTCATTGTCGTATCGGACCATTTTTGACCGCGCTCGCAATATTGCGACGCCTGGCTTTGGTCGAGGGCCGAGGAAATGCGACAATGGTGCGCTAACTCACCATTCCCCGAAACAGACGCGGCAGGGCGCAGGCCCGGCGCATGACCCCGACGCGGGCGCTGCGGCCGCACGTAATGTCGCTTTATTGTAATGCGTTGCGCAACGCTACCCCCCCGTCCGCCCCTGCGCCCCGCTCTCCGCGCCCCACCGCCGACGCCCCACGTAGCCTCGCAGTCTAACACTAAATCGGCGGCAACCGAATCGCCGTTTCAAGGAGCGCGTCTCTACGACAATTGTATTAATAATAGACCTACCTTGACACGGTACGGTTCTACGCCTGCACTAACTGCATGGTGACGACCGACTGTGTAGTGTTCTGAAAATTCATTGGATTTTATGAATATTGCTTTTATTTTTTGGCGATAGTGTACTGGTTTGGTAATCAAAAGCCAAAATATACAAAAGCGTTTGAAACATTTGTAAGGACGCAATCATAAACGCTCACGGCAAGAACACCGTAAGGTTTATGATTTAGCCATTGAAAATAGAGGTCATTGAAACCTTCGAGGGTTAAGTGGTACTAGCGCTGGTGCACAACCATAGAGTTGGACCATAGCGTTTTTGTTAGTATTAGTAACATTGTTAAACTTGTATATAACTTATGGATACATTTTTCTTATTTGTTATTGACACATTTATTAAACCAATTGTATTTGTTGGTATTTAATTATACAGCTTTTAATGTCCCTTACACTTGTTAAATATGTTGCAAAATTTAAATATGTTTTATATGAAGTAGACATTATTCAAGAATTTTGTTGCGATTAAGAAAATCGATAAGTACGCTCATCAATTTTTTTCTACGCATTAATTTTATAAACAGTACTTTAGGTAAAGTACTGTTTATAAAATTAATGTGTAGTTATAGTTATCAATAACAATCGTCCTAACAAAAAAGTTAACACATACTTATTAAGATTTCAATATTTATGTTGTTGGTGAAAAATTAATTGTATTATTAATACTACATGCATATAGCGTGCGGAACAGTTTACATATTGTCAACTATAATGATCAAATAGTCTAAATGTTAGTTCACTGTGTTGGAGCAACACAGTGAACTAACATTTAACAACCTTACTCAAACAAGCAGGCTCCAACCACGGTGGGTACCACTTCGATTGAGTACCAAGGCCTCTCAGAAAACCGGTGTCATGTGGACGTGTTATACTTTGGTCTGGTGAGTGAGATAATATGGGCTTATTTTTTTAAGGGTTGTAAAGCATCTGAAATTCATATCTGTTGTACATGCCCATAGCCGGCGGTTATTGCTTAGCAAGAGATAGACTGAATGCTCGTCTGCCAACGTCTTACATTAAAAAAATTATAAAAAAAAATTGATTCAAAAACTATGTAAAATTACGTTATAACTTAAGATTCCGAGCGTGGCGACATCCGTATTTGTAATTATACCATGTAAACACTCATTACCTGTTAGTAGTACATCGTTGATCAATAGTATGTATGTAAGTACGAGGCTCTTGGTTCTACGGAAAACTATAAAATGCATACACGGACGTTTTCCTAAGTCGGACGGGACGCAGTGGAGGCCTGCAGAGGGGAGGCGGGGCCGGTCGACACACTTTCTGAAGGGCTCTAAAACTCCGTCTTTTGTGGGCACCTTTACGAGCCATCTATTCGTGGACCTTTGATTTATCACAAACAGTTAAGGCCAGTCTTTTTTAATCCCAACCTGTCTTGTAAATGTACTCGTATAATGAATAAAATAAGCGTTATACGCTCGGCGGTTTCCGCTCATATTTGTTTATGGCATGGCTTGACATTTCCACGATACATATATTTTTTTTATATTACTGTGGAAAAAGTCAAATCCGTAAGATGTTATCGCGCGAGTGTGCAGGTGAAGCAACACTGCAGTTGCAGTGGATGCAAATAGGATAATAGCACAATTAAACGATTGAATGCAATCTTAGCTGAGTGACGCACAATACCAAGTGAGGATATCTAGTTGGTCTAAAACAATAAGAGCAGGTTTTAGAACAGAATAATAAACAGAACAGTGGGAAGAAGAAGTAAGTTAAACTCCTTTAAACTCTATTTCTGGGCCATGGCCTCAATTTTTGGTTTTCCTCGCCTTGGCTAGACTGGACTTACTTCTAAAACGTATAATCCTTACAAATATACACCAGAGAAGAAGATCGAATGTTTAACGATACTAGCAATAGTTAGAAGGAATTATTGTCATTTTTACTGGCATCAAACTGCAGGGAGCTTCTATTTGAAACTGGCTTGGTATTTTTAATACGAGTTTTGGAAAAAGAAGCATGTGACAAAGTTAACACTCAAGTGAGGCGAAGATCCTACCTACAACTTGGCTCGCCTTCGCTGCACACTTTCACATAGCCGTTCATTTATTGATAGGATAAGGTATATGTTTTGAATTTGTGACAGATTACAAGCCTGTAAACAAACTGATTGTGCCCACTTGGCAAGAAATTGGAAATCACGCAATCACCAGTCCAAATACGCTATCTAAAGAATTTTGTATATGTCTATAAACTTCCTAACTACCCATGACCAAGCCCTTATCGCTCAGCCTGTCAACCCTTTTTCGCATAATGCGTGGAAAAGTATAAGGCAATGTCGAAGCATATTTTAGATGAAGTCAAGCGATTAACAGTTCATGGTTGTCGGTGTCCGTGTACCCGGTTGTGACGTCACTGAGTCGACAAGTTACCTTAAAATCACGCATTTATGTCTGATTGATCCCACTTGTAGGCTCTAACTAAGCTCGTAAGAACTGTAGTATTTCTACGGCTTCTATGTCCGATGAAGGTTTACATAGCCTAAAAAACTGGAAGTCAAAACATCAACCGACAAAGACTGCTGGTTTAAGCTAATTTAATCTAGACTTGTAGGTGCTTGAATGTCATGTCTCCTGGTGTTTTGTTTCGCAGTGCAGTGTCCTAGGCATGTTTGATCAGTCAACACTACGTGCAAAGTTTGCTTGCACGTTTTTTTATTATTAATGAATTCTATATACTGTTACATATTGTAAACCAATTCGAGATTTCACAAGCCGAAGCAGTGCACCAAATGTCCAAAAACCTTAGAAACATTCGTGTGCTTTATATTACTAATAAAATTTAATTTTACTTAAAATGCCTCCGAGCTTTAATGATCGGGTTTCTATTGCCCTTGTTAGTAGTGTCGACTCTTAACGACTCCAAAGTTTGACAAAAAATATGTCGAAATATTAAAATATTCAATCTTCGTCATCTCGGCGATAATGCGATAACGTTGATAGATACACTACCAAATAATAACAAGCTGTCTATAAAGCTATCATAAAGTTTACTTTGGTCGTATTTGCATTTTCGATGTTTCAAACACTTTACAGTTAGAAACGAGGAAATTTAAAAATAAAAAATGGGAAAAATCCTCTAAAATAGTTCTATACAACCATGAGAAGAAATTAAGAATTAATATAAAGTACACGAATTAACTTATCTGTCTGCAATGAGTCAGAACTTTGGTGTGACATATCAAGAATATGATTCGATTTACAATGCTTAAGGTACAAAGGGGCATATACACGGGGAGGAAATAGAATAACGGTCAGAGCCAATGCACCGCATCGTTGAAGGCACACAAGAACCTTTTAATATCTCTAACCGTTCCCCGTCTACAACCAACAATGTGTTATTATTGCCTGACCAGGAAGCAAGGTCTACCTTTCCCCCTGCAAGTGTTAATGAATGGGCAACGAAGGGGTATCAATATCTGCTGTGACATATCATTTTATATTGGCTGGTAACATTGATAGTCGATATCTCCGCCCCGCCCGTTGCTCTGCCGTTCACAACTTTTTGCGATTGCAAATGGAAACTGTGGAGACAGTAGGGTAAATCGAGGCCACTATACAGTCGTTACACTCGGATATTATGCCTACGTTTAGAAATGAGTAAAGTACGTTGATTTCATATGCAAATAGAGAAAATGTCAATCGTAATCATGCAAAAGGTTATATCAGTAGAAGTGGATTCATCATTGCTGTACGTGCATCAGTGCTGTAGGATAATGTGTAAAAGAGAGTGTTAAGAGTAAGCATGGTTTTCTTTTTAGTAGATGTTTGATCACATTATTTTGAACCGGATGAGAGGGAGGAGAGTATAACTTACTAAAGAAATATGTGTACTTCTTAACTTCGTCCATCGGGTTAGATTGTCAAAGAAAAACTGGACTTTATTTTTCTTCAATAAATCGATCTCGTGCCTTATCTTCTTCCGGCGATATATTTTATTTTTCTTCCTCTCCGAGTACATCCACAATAACCGCTTGTTTGTGTCAGTAACCGGAATTGCCATATACGAGTTTTCTATTGAGATGGGATGTGGTTTTTCGTTGCGTTCTATACATATTAACTGCTTATGCTACTTTTTTGGAAGGTATTTCGCATTCCATTTTCTATGGGGAACTTTGGTTGTAAATCAAATCCGTGATTTCGACTTCTATAATTTGGAATCATGCCGACACTCAGAGGATTATCGTCTCTGGATCTCTACAGTGATGTCGCAGAATGTAACTATCGATGCTCTAAACAGGATTTCTTCATTGCAACTAAATCTTTCAAATGAGTTATCGACTCAGCGAAATTACTGTTTAAGGAAGTTTCTGTACGTAATCTCTCCTTTATAAGTGCAGGGGAAATATGAATACAGATGAAACATAGAGGGAAGTTGCCTTCCACCATACAACAGTGTAGGTGCTCTGGTTTTTTAGAAAGCTCTAGAAACAAGGCATTTGCCCTACCGGTGGTGTATTTTAAGTGTGGTAGAGCCAGGCACCGGCCTTGCTGATGTACGAATGGGCAGGTTCGTGCAGGTAAGTACTACAACCTCACAGAAGACTGGCCTGTATTAGAAGTGTTATACTTCTACGTTTCGTCTGGTGAGTGAGGTAGCCGTGGCCCACTTTATTAAAAAGTAGCAAAGTATTTGCAACTCTACGAGTATTGCAAATCTCAAAGGGTGGCGGTTACCACTTAACATCAGGTGAACTGCCAGCTTGTAAAAAAAGTATTTGTGAGTGTATGTAAGTGTTTATATAGGCCTGTTATTAACACCTTCTTTTCTCTAAAATAATGTACTACCCGCTAATTTAATAATGTACCTACAACCAGCTAATGTTATGTAATGTACTGTCGGCTAAGCCCATGAACATCCTTCATGCAAACCTTCATGCTATCAGCCATAATCTCAATCCCCACCTCTTTCACAGACGTGTCATACTTTACACGGTTCACCCAAATCTTTCTCGGTCTTCCTCTAGCCTCTCGATCCACTCAACACTTTTCTAGTCACATTTCTTTTAATCCTACACAAGACGTGCCCATACTGTGTCAACCTGCCACTTCTTTTTTCTGCCACTGGTGCCACTTTCAAGCTTTCCGTTATTTCGAACATAAATCACCACCAATATATAATGCTATATGGATGATAATTCGGATGATGTCATATCATCGAGGAGTACTGTAACAACCTTGAAGGGGAAGACTCTGTGTTGTTAAACAATATATTGATTTGGGGCCGGCTAAATGATCATTTCTAGGAAGACACAGTATTGTGTGTTAATCGTTAATAAAGAATGAGTAAAAAAATTTAAAATTAAAAGGTTTTATTGAAAACTAGCTCTCCGGGTAGACTTCGTTCTTTTTTTAAACGGTTTTATTTAGCTCGACCCGTACGGAATTTGTTTGTTTATTTATTTGGGTCAAAATTAGAAATTGAAATTTAAGCACCTTGCCGTTGTCAGATTGACCTGAAATTTGGTACACACATTTAATTTAGATGACAATACAATATTAACAAAAAAAAATTAAAAAAAAAAAAACAAAATAAAACCGTTTAACTTAAAAGTTTTTTAAAGTAATTATTTATAGTATAAGTACGTGGATCTTAAGGAACATACAAAAAAATAAATTAGCCGCATTGGTCCAGCCATTCTTGAGTTATGCGCTTACCAACATATATTTTTATTTATTAAAGAAAGAAGACAAGATAAAGATTAAAATGATGTAGACAATGTACTAAAAGCTAAAAAATAATTCGGTAGGTACTAGATACTAGTCACTACACCACTCTCACTCAATCAATTTAGGGCAATCAGACAAAAAAATAAAATCTTTGGGTGTGTGAAATTTTGGTTGCTCAGTGTGAGTTCCGTGAAGGGTGCTATGATAATTTCCCCGACACAGCACACCATATATGTCAGCGGCCGGACTGGGTGTCCTAACATCTGAGGAGAGAAAGCCTAAGAATCTGTTCTGTTCGGGTACCCATATATATCTTCCCACTGATCTGGCGGTAGGAGATCAATAAAGTATTTTTCCCACATAAAAAAGTCAGAGACATTCAATTTCACGATATATAGAATGTTAAACAAAGTTATGTTCTAAATTGCTCGATGCTTAATAGTGTTTTCTACTGAGTCATAGCTTATATCTTTTCGGCCACACATGCAATACTGCTCTTATTTCTGATCTGGTGCACTCAAACTGATATGAAGGATTAAACGGAATGTTGTAAACAAGAGAAAGTATGTGAGCCTTCCGGCGAAGACGAATAGGTAGCCACTTGAGCTTAACACGGATAGAAGTGTTGAACTTAAATGAACTTAAGTGAACTTAAATGTGAGATATGATCATGAAAATCTGTACAATAACTAATTATACAATTCAAGAGTACATATGCACAATGTCAGTGCTAAGTAAAATGCCGATATTTTCTATGGTTAGCTATTAGTAAGCTGCACTGCAACATTTCCTTGCTTACATGGCCGCTTGGCCTATTGATTCAAGTACCTTGTGCAATGTTAGTACTGCGGTTCTTAGTTTCTGCTGTGAGCATATTTGTGTCCCATATTGAAAGGAACTCCCTTTCATCAAATCCTCTATATTATTTATAAAAAGTTGTAAACGTAAACTCGCAATCGGTATTTGGAATTTAGCTCATTTGTTTTTTTTTTCTGCGGGATTTACATTTAATTTACAATTTAAATAGATTTTCTAGAATTACAAGAAATAGATCATTGTTTCACAGGAATCCATACACTGCCATAATAAAATATTTTTTATAACTAGGACAACGGAAAAAAAACTGCAGTTTATGAAAACTAATTGATGATAGAACGATTTCATAATTCTTTTATTCTTCATTTTCGAATAAGCCGCTACTCAGTAGGTGGCAAACAATTATGATTGTCTAAATAACACGAAGAGATAAATAAGTGCTTTTAATTATATTATCTAACAGCCGTGTACTGGTTGGACCTATGTTGCATGACATGTATAACTTACCAACAAGAAACTAGAAATAGCAACGCGCAGATAATGAACTTGACTCTGTAAACG